CATCATTCATCATTTGTCGTTTACCATCATCATCCGTCATTCACCACCATCACTCATCCTCGTCATCATCATCACCATCATCATCATCGTCGTCATCGCATCATCAACATCATCGCCAGCATCACCATTATCATATTCGTCATCAGCACAATAACCATCATCAGCATCATCATCATCAGATGCATCATCATCCTCATCATCATCCTCAGCGTCATCATCACAATATTGTTCATCGTCGTATTTATCGTCATCCGCATCAGCAGCAGCACCATAACAATCATCATCAGCATCACCAACATGGTCAGCATCAGTAGCATCAGCATCAGCATCCGCAGCAACATCATCATCATCATCAGTATCATCATCATCATCATAATCGTAAGCATCATCATAATCTGCATCATCAGCAGCAGCAGCATCATCATTAACAGCACCATCATCATCGTCATCATCAACATCATCAGCGGCATCAGCATCAGCATCATCATCATAAGTGTCAGCATCATCCTCCTGCGCCTCCTCTTCCTTCTCCTTCTCCTCCTCCGCCTCCTCCCTCATTATTCCCCCTTCTCCCTCGCCTGCGTCGTTCCCCCTCGTCCTTCCACATCCTCGACCTCCTCATCCTCCTCCTCCTCCTCCTCCCTCTTCTCCTCCTCCCTAATATTCAGCGATATCCTTCCCCATCCCTCCCTCCCTCACTCCTCCCACCGCGCGCGAGCCAGGACCCCCCTGGCGGCAGCCCTCTGGCCGAGCGGCGCGGCGACGACTCGCACTGGAGCGAGGTCATCCAGATGGCGGTCGACCTCCTCATCGGCCCGGAGGCGCCGTCGCGCGCCCCCGCGTGTGCAGCCACGACGGCCACGCCCGCTGCCACGGCCGTGACCACTGCCACGACCGCGGCCACGACCGCGGCAGCGGCCACGACGACGACGATGACAACGGCCGCGGCGACGACGACGACGACGACGACGACGACGACGACGACGACGACGACGGCGACGACGACGACGACGGCCGCGGCCGCGACCATGTCGGAGGCGGCGGCCGGCGCGCCTCCCCGTGGCCTGCAGGCCTTCCCAGGCCGCGCGTTGACGTGGCGGTGGTCGTCGCTGTCGTCGTCGCAGGAGGGGGAGTAGGAGCAGGAGCAGGAGGAGGAGGAGGAGGAGGAGGAGGAGAGTGGAGGAGGAGGAGGAGCAGGAGGAGGAGGAGAAGGAGAGTTGAGGAGGAGGAGGAGGAGGACGAAGAGGAGGAGGAGGAGGAGAGTGGAGGAGGAGAGTGGAGGCGGAGGAGGAGGAGGGGAGGAGGAGGAGGAGGAGAGTGGAGGAGAGGAGGAGGAGGAGGAGAGGAGACGAGGAGGACGAGGAGGAGGGAGGAGGAGGAGGAGGAGGAGGAGGAGGAGGAGAGAGGGAGGGAGGAGGAGGAGGAGAGTGGAGGAGGAAGAGGAGGAGGAAGAGGAGGAGGAGGAGGAGGAAGAGGAGGAGGCAGAGGTAGGAGGGAGGGAGGAGGGAGGGAGGGGAGGAGGGAGGGAGGAGGAGGAGGAGGAGGAGGAGCGCTGCACCACGTCAGCGTCGCACTCGTGGAAAACAGGGCAGGGAGCGCTGGTGGGCGAGGTGAGTCGTCGACCGAGGGAGGGCAGGACAGGAGGGAGAACTTCTGGGGAAGAGGGGGGGCAGGAGGACGGGGGAGGAGGGAGAGGGAGCGAAGAGCAGCATATTGCTCTTCAAATGATATATATATATATATATATTATGTTGGGGCCGTTTACCAGATTGCCAGATTGGCTCTCGCCAGATTAGATCAGATCGACTCGCTCGCCAGATTGCCAGATTGGACTCGCCAGATTGGCGCCAGATTGGCTTAGACTACCCAGGCAGCAACAGGAGGAGAAGGACCAGGGGCAAGGCGAGGAGCAGGCGCCATCCTTGCCTCTTCGCCCTGTCCTCCCCACCCCACCCCACCACCCCTCCATCGGAGCGCTGGCGTTTCCTTTCCCGCTCCTCTTCCTCACTGTTCCCTCAGCCTCTATCGCTATTCCTTGTGACTAGCTCCCCCCTCGTCGCACCACCAGGCGGGTCCGTAGACCGGGCCGAGCGTTTCGCTTGAGACGTCTTGGCCACATACGATGGTGACGATGAAGAAGCTCAACAACTACGCGGAGGAAGGGCCGATGCATTTCGAAAATCGGCTCCCGCCTTTGCGCCGATCACGTTCGTTTTCAATGCTTCCAACAGTAATACGGACGGAAGACTGATTCCAACGCTTACACGGATAGATGATCTTGGTTTTCAAAAAGCGGTTCCCCCGCCGTAGCGCCGCGCACATTCGTTTAAAGGTTCCCGGCAGCTACACGTGTTAGGGTTTGGTGGCTTCCATTCTGCAGCCCCTGCCTTAGCGCTGAGCACACTCGTACCTCCAACAGTTGCCAAAATGGCAGCCTGTACGCTTTCAAAATGCAGATCCCGCATGAGACCTGCCGAAACACATGACCTGAAGTTACAGATTGTGGGACAGTTGAGCGGACGGAGGGCGGCTGTTGTTCATGCTCGGATGTCCATGCGGGACTCCTCTGAATTTGATTTGGGGAATGAAGAATGGCATAAACATAATAACTCGGAGGTCCGCGCGGATTTCTCGGATCGGCGCTGGAGGCACCGCCAGGCCAGGGGGGTCCGGCGCGGATCCGAGAAATTCGCGCGGATCTCCGAGTTTTTCGGTTTATGTCATTGTTCGGTCCCCTATTGTTGTTCATGCTCGGACTTTCATGTGGGGCTCCCCTGAGCTTGATCATCATGCTTTCTTTTGCGTGCCGTATGGCCAGAAGGATGGGGGGGGGGGTCCCTCACAGAACGGGGCCTCGCCCGAGTGGCAGACACACCGGGCGCTCGTCGTTCAAGGTCGGGCCGCGCCCCGCAGCGGATCGGAGAGTTTCCTCGCTTCGCTCCTGCCGCCGGCACACATTGCACCTCTGCTGCTAGCTGTTGGCGTGCCCATGGCGGGCGAAAAGGTGGGTAGGAGCCTCGATAGGGAAGGAGGAGGAGGAGGAGGAGGCCTCTCGACGGCTTATTGGGGCACGGTGGGGATCAAGCTGGGTCGCGGTCAGGACGCCTCTTTGGAAGGATTCTTGGGGTCTCTTGGGAGGCCTCTCGGGGGCCCCTTGGCGGCAGTTCTGGGACCTGCTGGGGCCTCTTGGGGGCCCCGTGGGGCATACCTTTGGGCTTCCAGGGGCCTCTTGAGGGCTTCTTGCGGGCTTGGTGACGGGCTCGGGGCCAAATTTCGGGAAAGGTTCGACATGTCTATTCTGGTTCCCCCTCTTGGGGCCTTCATGGGAGCCTCTGGAGCCCTTTGAAGAGGCGTCCTGTGCGGTCTTTGGGCTGTCCTGGGAGCCTCTTCGGCTGACTTGGGGTAATTTTGGAGGCTTTATGGGCCGTCGTCCTTGGCGGTTGGAAGCTCGAAGAGGCGGTAACGCCAAAATCTTTCATGAACCACAGCAATATCAATGACTTGTGCCTTTTCGGGCCCTCTTGGGGTCGTCTTGGAGCGCTCCTGGGGCGTCTTGGGCGCCTCTCGGACCGTCTTGCCACAAACATGGGCCATCTTGGAACGCTCCTGAGGCCGTGGGGCCTGCCACAGTTTCAGCGCTTCCTTGGGGCGCTCCTGGGGCGCTCTGAGGGGGCCCAGGGCCGCGCCCAGGAGTCTCGGCATCCGTGACCCGGCCCTGCCGGGAACTTGCCGCTTTTCATCCGGGGACCCCCCAGGGCCGGCACGCGCGCGCTGCTTGCTGGAGATTCAGCACGCCTCTGGCCCGTTTGGCCAGCGAATTTGCAGGAGCTTATGAGGAGGGGACTTGGGAAGGGAGGATGTATTGCAGCAACGTTGACGCATCCTCGTATTACTCAGGTCTCCTCATCCTCCTCCTCCCCTCATTTTCCTGAAGGAGGAGGGGGAGGAGGACCCAGGAGGCGGAGGAGAATATGGGAGGAGGGAGAGGAAGAGGATTTAGGACGTCGGTGCACCGAAGCGGGAATTCGGCGTCCCACATCATCGTTTTCATGTCCAGCTCCCCGTCCTTATTCTTCTCCCGTCTCCCTGGGATTCATTGCTCCCCGTCGTCCTTCCACATCATCCTCGTCCTCCTCCTCCTCATTCGCCAATTCCTCCTCCTCCTCCTCCTCCTCCTCCTCCTCCTCCTTCCTCCTCTGCCTCGTCCTCCTTGTCAAAAAACGCCAGGACCGGACAGATCCTGCCTATATCCCATCAAACATTTCAGACACATTCAAAAGCAATTCCCTCCTCCCCCTCCCCAACAACTTTAGCACTATCCCCTTCCTCCTACACCTCTTCCCCCTCCTCGCTCCTATTTCCTCCCAATCATCCTCCACCTCCTCTTCCTCCTCCTTCTATCTCTCCTCTTCTCCTCTTCCTCCTCATATCCGTGCTCCTCCTAATCAACAAATCACCAGGCGAATGGTTTTCTAAATGTGGTTCTCGCTTGAGCGCCGCGCACATGCATTAACAAGGTGCCAAGAGCTACACGGGCATAACATGGCCGGTTCTCAGCATGTGGCCATCCATGTGAGCGCCCGCGCATCCACCCCAAGAGTTCCAATGAGTTGGATTCGGATATGTTGTTCGCGCCGCGCACATCCGTCTTCTTCGGGTTCCAACATTCAAATCGGCTAATCGGCTTCACGGATGGCTGCGCATTTTCGAAACCAATGCGCATGTACGTGTACGTCCTTCTCTCGCTCCTGAGAGGAGGAGGAGGAAGAGGAGGAGGAGGAGGAGGAGGAGGAGGCGGAGGAGGCGGAGGAGGAGGAGAAAGAGGAGGAAGAGGAGGAAGAGGAAGGAGAGGAAGAAGAGGAAGAGAAACAGAGAGAAGGGGAGGAAGAAGAGGAGGAAGAGGAGGAGGAAGAAGAGGAGGAGGAGGAGGAGGAGGAGGAGGCGGAGGAGGGGGAGGGGGAGGAGGAGGAGGAGGAGGAGGAGGAGGAAGAAGAGGAGGCGGAGGAGGCGGAGGAGGAGGAGGAGGAAGAGGAGGAAGAGGAGGAAGAGGAAGGAGAGGAAGAGAAACAGAGAGAGGGGGAGGTTCTCGCCCGGGACTGCCGTTGGCCCTGCGGCCCGACGCCCGCGATCGCCGGACCGGCAGTCCGTGCACGGACGTGCGGCGGCACCCCCGGGGACGGGTCGCGGCCCCGCCCGACCGGCAGGCCCGGGGGGCGCTTCCGCAGCTCCCGGGGTGGAGGGCCCCGCCGTCGCGAGGAGGAGGAGGAGGAGGAGGAGGAGGGAGGAGGAGGCGGAGGAGGAGGAGGGAGGAGGAGGGAGGAGAGAGGAGGAGGAGGAGGGAGCCAGGAGGGGGAAGAGGAGAAGGGAGGAGGAGGAGGAGGAGGAGGAGGAGGAGGAGGAGGAGGAGGAGGAGGAGGAGGAGGAGGAGGAGGAGGAGGAGGAGGAGGGGGAGAGGAGGAGGAGGAGGGGAGGAGGAGGAGGAGGAGGAGGAGGAGGAAGAGGGAGGAGGAGGAGGTGGGAGGAGGAGGAGGAGGAGGAGGAGGAGGAGGAGCAGGAGGAGGAGGAGCAGGAGGAGTAGGAGCAGTCGCAGGGAGTGCCGGCAGGGTTTTCGTGAGGACCGGGGAAGGAAGGGGCACCCGTACCGCTACCCTTCGCCCGGCTTCTCCTGCTCGGGCCTCCTGGGAGGCCCTCGTCGCCACCGCCACCGCTGGATCCGCCCCGAGATCCTGGTCAGACCGCACCCCGGGAGAGGTCCGGGGAGTAGCGGTATCGATACCTTTTGATTCCCCCAGAGGAGGGGACGTGGGACGGGTTCCCGCCGAAAAAATTGAAGGATCGGCTCGAGCTGGACGAGCGCGTCTGCACGGCAAGCTGCCGATGCAGATCCTCGAAAAAAAGAAGATACGAGCAATATCCTTGAAAGTCCGATTCGAGGAAACGTAAGACTCGAGTACGCCAGAACTCGGGTTTGTCGACGGTTTTTGACGAGCGCGTCCTGGATTTTGACGGTCCAGGTTTCGTGGGATGTCTGCAGCGGGAGCTCGCGTCAGATTTCGGATTGGGTCTCGCCATTTCATGACGGCCTCGTCAGGTCAACCCGAGGTCCCCGAACCCAAGTCTTACGTCTCCCCGACCGACGCATCCTGGGTTTACTCCAGTCCTCCTCCCTCTTCCTGCACTCCGCCGCGAGGACGAGGCTGCCGTGTGAGCGGGGGCTGACCTCGCGGCCCTGGTCTGTTGGGGAGGGGGGGCCCAGCGCGGGTTGTGCCAGAGGAGATTGGGCCAACCCCCTTCTGCCTAACTCCATCTCGATAGAGGATCGGCAGCAAGCGAGGGGAGGAAATGAGAAGTACAAGACCTTCTCGGAAGGCGGCGGCGCGTCTCGGAAGCCCTCGCTCCTTCTGAGAAGGTCTCCGTGTCTTCGGGAAAGGCTTGGGAAGCTTCTTAGAAGGCCAGGGGACTTCCGAGCCTTCTGAGAAGGCCCGCCCCTTCTCATTTCCCCCCCTCGCTCGCTGCTGAGAGGAGCAACTCCAGTCGGCCCAGGTTAGTAGGTCGACCCTGCCAGCTCAAGGGTACCCTTGTGTCCTGTGCCTCGCGACGCGTGCCTTCTTACACTACAATGGCGATGTGGCCTTCGGAAGGGTCTTGTGTCCTCTCGCGTGTCCTCTCTAATGAAGTCCGACTGTAGCGGCATATGCACCGGTACCAATGGAGCGGGAGAGAGAAAGAGATTCGGAGGTGCGCGCAGAACTTCTGGGTCGGCGCCGGGTCCCCCTGGCGGCGCCTCTGGCGCCGCTCCTGGCGCGCGCATACCGCGCGCCAGGAGAAGAGCGTCCAGCGCAGATCCCCTCGAGCAATGAAAAAATCACGACGGGAGGTTTTTCACCATTTTCGGCTTCTGGGGGCCCCTACCAGGCCTCGGGACCGTCAAAAAACGACTCGGGATTAAAAACCGGTCCCGGGGAATAGGTTCAGACCTCGGGGGTCGACGTAATGAAAAAATTATGACGTCGGGGGTCTGGGAGCGCAGACCCGAGATTTCCGCGCAGACCTTTGCGAACTTACGACTGCCTTTTCGATTTCCACTCGATGGTCTTCCGGGCCCGCGTTGACCCACTGTGTGCCTATTCTGGTCAGCCCCGCCAGCAGCACGCAGCTTGCGCCAGACCCCATCACACCAGCTTGTCGTGGTGCAGGGCTTCGGTGGACGAGAACATCTTGGCGGCAACACGCGTTCTGAACATCACCGATACGAGGCTTCCGCGCAGCCACCGCTGCAACGGCACCCGCCGCGAATGAGGAGGAGGAGGAGGAGGAGGATCAGGGGAAGGAGGGGGAAGAGGAGGAGGGGGAGGAGGAGGAGGAGGAGGAGGGGAGGAGGGAGGAGGAGGAGGAGGGGGAAGAGGAGGAGGGGGAGGAGGAGGAGGAGGAGGAGGAGGAGGAGGAGGAGGAGGAGGAGGAGGAGGAGGAAGCCGCGGGCCCGAGCGGGCCTGGGGCTATGCGCGTCGCCCCCAGGGTGGCAACCGCGACGAGATACTCCCCAACGCACAACCTTACACATATATACTCGTTTCCCGATTTCTCGATGTCTCTCACTCCTCTCATTTCCCCTTACCGTAAATTTTTTGAGGCCATGATGGAATGCAGGTCTTGTTCTTATCGGCGGCGTCCAAGTTATCTTGAAGAAGGCCGTAGGGTCAAAGCACTCCATAATTTCGGATTCTCGGCACCATTGCATCGTACTCACATCTTCGCTAAGGCACTCAATAGGATTGGATTATCAGCGCGAAGCCATCGTACTCACATGTACTTTAAAAAAAATGAGACATCTACCCCGCACCGGCATCGGTTGTAAAAGGAAAAGCGCAGATTCCAAACATGCTTTGCAATTCACTCCAAAACATGGTGATGACGATTGGCACGGCACTTAAACTCAGAACCAGCATGTTCATCGACCAGCAGCCCACCATGACAATAGCAACGACAGCAACCACGACAGATACCACGACAGCTACTAACCCCCACGGCAGCCACCACGACAGCTACCATGACAGCTACCGCGAGAACCTCCACGGCACCCACAACCATAGCAACCACTACAGTTACCACGACAACTACTACAGCAACGCGACAGCCACCTTGTCTGCCACCAGGGCAGCAACACGACAGCCACCACGACAGCCACCACGGCGGCAACACGACAACCACCGCGACAGCAACCACGACAACTACTACGACATCTGCCATTACAACTACCAACACTGCTACCGCGACAACCACCACGGCAGCCACTACGACAGTTACCATGACAGTTACCACGACAGTCGCCACGACAGCCACCTCCACGGCAACGCGACAGCCACCACGCCAGCCACCACGGCAGCTACACGACAGCCACCACAACAGCCACGACGACAGCCACCACGACAGCCATCACGGCGGCAACACGACAACCACCGCGACAGTCACCACGACAATCCTTACGACAGCTACCACTACAGCTTCCATTACAGCTGCCGCGACAACCTCTACGGTAGCCACCACGACAACAACCACGACAGCCACTTCGACAGCCACCACTACAGCAAAGCGGCAGCCACCACGACAGTTACCACAGCAGCTCAAACTGGCAAACCACCAGCAGACCACCCAGCAGTACACCTACCGCCTAGCAGACAGCCGACAACAGCACACCAACCAGCAGACCACCGACTACTGACCAGCAGCTACACCGACCGCCGACTCCTATGTCCGCCAATATTACCAAGATTGCCGCTCCTTTGGCTTGTACCGCCCCATCCAGGGTATGTTAGTTCATGCATCCATTCACAGGGAGTAACACCTCCCCCGTGGGCCGCATATACTTACAGTACTTTCACGAGCAAGCATCCCACGGCAGCCGCCATGACAGACACAATGACAGCCACCACAATTGCCACCAAGCACCACCACTAGTGTTCTAGCACGTGAGGCAGGTGGCCACAAAGACAGACTGTAGAGTCGGCATCTCTCAGTTGATTTGCGTGCATCGAAGGCCGCTTCGTTCTGCCACCAGTCGTGGTACCCTAGGCGTAACGGGGATGGTACGGAGTAGAGGGGCGGAGGAGGAGGAGACTAGCATCATTACCAGTATTATCCACAGGCCAGCCATTGGCACGGCAAGCCTACGACATCGTTTGCCCGCTATGTGTCACAAAGTGTTCGTGCGAAACCCGAAAACAATTGCGAAAAGCACGCGGGTCTTGGGGCCGAGGAGGTTGGGGGTGAGCCGAAGAAAATTGGGTAGCAGACCAAGAATTGCCGCACGCGCTTGCATTGCCTCAGGCCAGCCAGTCCAGCCTGTACCAGTCTCGCTGTTAGTTTGCGCATGTGTTGTTCTGCACTGCTAACCTGGACTAAACATGGTGGGAGGGGGCTGATGGTGAGATGGAAGTGGTGGTGGTTGGGGACGTTCTTTGCTTCACCTGCGCCTGCAGCATACTCCAGATTCTAAATTGTTCCGTTCTTCTACAGCCGCGACACGTTTTCCTTCTTCCGCACTGCTGCAGGGCACAAGTTTGCCGTTTTTTCCTTCAATCAGGCTTGCCCTATAGGAGTCCCAGTTCATCATAAGCAATCGGTCTTTAGCCCCCCCCCCTTTTTCCAATGACACCCCCCTTTATTTTCAATGGCACTCCCCTCCCCCCCCCTTTTGCCAATGGCACCCCCCCCCTCATTTCCGAAGGCACCCCCAGCTATTTCCAATGGCGGGTCATATGGATTCCCATGAGTCGTATGGATTATTATGCCTATGTCCATGCCTATATGCCAATGCCAATGCCTATGCGTATGGAATAGTGTTGCTTGCCATTTCATGCTTGGTTTCCTCTCTTCCCGTCCTCTCCTCCTCGTCTTCTCTTTCTCTCGCTCTTCTCCTGTGCATCTGTTTATTTGGAGTAAACGCTGGCTGATATTGCACAACTAACGCTTCAGGCCCTGTCCTTGAATTTGCGCACTATAAGAAAAGAGGAGGAGGAAGACGAGGAGAAGGAGGGGGATGGAAAGGGGGAGGAGGACGAGGAGGACGAGGAGGACGAGGACGAGGACGAGGACGAGGAGGAGGACGAGGACGAGGACGAGGACGAGGACGAGGAGGAGGAGGAGGAGGAGGAAGAGGAGGAGGAGGAGGAGGAGGAGGAGGACGACGACGAGGGGGGGGGAGGAGGAGCTGGATGAGGAGGAGGAGGGGAGCCGTTGCCCGACTTGGGGGGGACCCCCCCGCCCGGCCCTCGCCACAGGGGCGGGGGGTCCCGAAGAGCGATGGCTAGGCGCGGTGCCCGGCATGGCGCGGGGGGCCGCAAACGCGCGCGGCTTCGGCGTGAAGCCCGCGATGCAGTGCACCACGCGGATACCGCCGGCGCCAACGCCCACGCCAACGAGATGAACCGCGAGCACATTTAGTGGAACGAAAAATGGCATAAGCATAAGAACTCGGAGGTCCGCGCGGATTTCTTGGATCCGCGCTGGACCCCCCTCCCTGGCGCGCGGAGCGCGCCAGGGGCGGCGCCGGAGGCGCCGCTAGGGGGCTCCAGCGCGGATCCAAGAAATCCGCGCGGACCTCCGAGTTCTTATGTTTATGCCATTTTTAGTTCCCCTAACATTGGCCATTGGCCGAGATGAACCCGTGATCGGCACGACCGCGGAGGTCGACGATTTCGACCCGAAGATACATCCTGCTGGAGGCCAGCCTGCGTGGCCCGCACGGGCGACCACAGGGCGAAGGACATCGCTGCCATCCTCGCCGCCAGCAGGGCCCCCGACGAGGCTCACGATCTCGCCGCCGACCACTACACCAGGAAGAGCTGGTGTGAGAAGCCAGATGCATGGAGGAACTGGCGTGACGAGCCAGACGAAGGCAAGAGTTGGCATGAGAGGTCAGATGACTGGAAGAGCTGGCGTGAGCAGCCAGACGAGAGCGGGATTAGGTTCCAGACACCTCGCTCCTATCCCTACAACAACGCCAGCGCCATCGTCTGCGCCGACGCCACAAACACCAAGCGATCAACACCCACGCCAGAACCGCCAACCAGGACGACTTCAGATTCAACCCCATGGCCGACGTACCCCACCCCTGAAGCACGCTCCCCGCCCAGCGTGGCCCGCCAAGCCTATGGGCGCTTGCGCCTACGCCGCCGCCAGCTTCTTATGCGGAGGCCGCCACCGCCGCGACGATCCTTTCTGCCAGGAGCGCGGGCGTCGCCTACCCCACGGACGGCTGCCTTGGCCAGGCGGTGACGCGGGCCATCCGCGAGGCCGCCGAACGCCACGCCAGCTTCGCCGCCGCCCACGCCAGCGCCAACGCCAGCGTCACCACCAGCGCCTACGTTCAGCTTGACGTCGAGGACGCCAACGCCAACCCCACCAGCGCCGCCAGCGCCAGTGCCGACGCCAGCGCCTTCACCACCAGGGAGGCCAGTAGCAGTATCGCCCACAGCCACAACGAGGGATGACCGAGGGCTGGCGGGAGGAGGCGGAGGAGAGCGGGGCCCCAGCCCCCGCACCTCGGCCTGCGGCCGCCCCCG